GAATCCCACACACCTGAGCAGAGGTGCAGTTAGTTAGCATCAGCCTGTCACACAAACTCATCATCTGTTCCAGTTTCTTTACCAAATCTGTCAAAAATGCCAACGATATCACAGCTTCTCATGAAAACAGGATTTTGTCTCCAACACGGTGATTCCAAAGAGCTGTCAGCTGAAACTCTGCACATCTCAGCGTGGTGTCAGTGTGTCCTCAAAACCCCGAGGAAAGTGGACAGAAGAAGCTTCCTGTTCCAGCATGACAACGATGCAAACACACTGTCAGTGCAGAGAAAGCACACCTGGATCTGATAACACACAGCAGGACACCATCAGTCGCAGACGGGCCTCAGCTGAGGAGACGTCTTCCTGAGGATCCTCACAGAGCTGACAGCTGCTCACACTAAATACACACTCCGTGTTTACATGTGTGTTTGCACAGTACTGTCAGAAAACACTCTCAGGAAAAATAAGGAACAGATTGATTTTCTGTGGATTTGTCCCACCCAGCGTGGAAGCAACACTCGAAGGAATCGTCTGTTTTTAGAGCCGACCCAGCGTCGCAGAAACCTGAAGTTCTTTTCTTTCTGTGCAGAAAACCATCCAGACCTCACCTATCGACTACATCCGGACCTTCCAGATGTTCAGCCACCCACATGTGGTCTACACTCACAGGTACACGCACTCACACTGTGCCTGTGCTGATTGGCTGATGTGAAGTCAGCTGGTGGGTCACACACAGCTGTCAGTCAGAGGCTCGCTGACGTGATCGAACTCGTCGAGTTTCTGGTTTAATCGTCGTGTTTGCTGTTCGAGTCTCAGTAGCGACGTTAGCACGCAGGAACTGATTGTGAGCTTAAAAAGTTAAAAATCTAAAGAAGCAGGAAGAACCAAACGTGTCAGCTCAGACACATTCATTTTCTGATGATCAGCTGATCGATTATTGATTATTGATGTTCTCTCTCTGCAGCTATCTGGGTCTGGGCCTGATGTCGGCTCGCCTCGCCATCTTGGGAGGCGTCGGTGCCCCGCCCCGTACGTACCTGACCTGTTTTTCTTTTTCTTGTTTTTCAGTTTTCAGATTTTCATCTCAGCCTGTTGTGCCCCCCCCCGCCCCCGCCCAGCAGATAAATAAGCCATTATCTAATCTTTTAATAACACACTGCAAGATTAATTCCTTGCTGGCCAGCTGTTGCTGCGGTTTAACTGCTGCAAGAAGCTGCAGCTCAGATCCTCTCTGCTGTCGGGCTGTTTATGTGCACGCAGGCGTCGCCGTGTCCGTGGCGGTGTCGCGTTCAGGCGTCCTGCTGGGACCGTTTTAACCACACATCATATATTTGTGACTTTTTGGAAAACTGCTGTAGCAGACTGACAGCATTTGGCTAAAGCAGGAAGTGTGTGCAAGCAAACTGCTGCAAACATGAGCCATCGTCACTGCAATAACCTCACCGCTGCCTCTGCTGGGGGTCGGAGGAACTGCAGGGCTGTGTGTCGTTGTTTTACTGTTCGCGGGTTTGAGATGAGATAAACAGACAAACGTGTGTGTGTGTCTGTGTGTGTCTGTGTGTGTGTGTCTGTGTGTGTGTGTGTGTGTGTGTCTGTGTGTGTCTGTGTGTGTCTGTGTGCAGTAGGGGGCAGCCCGGAGCTAGTCAGCCCCTGCCTTGCTCCAGAGTACTCGGGCAGCTGGGAGCACGCTGACGTGGTCTACACTGTGAAAGGCCAGAGCACAGGTGAGCAGATCATCTCTGATTGGTGGTGTGGTTGCCATGGTTACTCATGATGCAGCTGGGGTTAGGAACCTTTTGTGTGCACGTGTGTTTCAGGGGAGTCGGTTTTTGAGGCGTGCCTGAACAGAGTGGAGAAGGTTTTGTACCAGAAGGTGGCGAAGGCGTCCGGCGTGACCGACATGGACTTCTACGCCTTCTCCTTCTACTACGACCGCGCCGTCGACATCGGCGCCATCGGTGAGGAAATACTGCTGCTCTGCTGCTCGCCTGCAGGGGGCAGCACGTCACGCTGATCCATCATGGCGTAAACAGGAAGCCAAATAAACCTCGACGAGGGCGTGGCGTCCATTGAAGCCGCAGAAACGCTCGGCGCTGCTGCGTTCGCGACTCAAACTTCTTTTTTGGCGGATTTTAGAAGACGAATCGTTTGTGAAGCCGCGCCGTTACAGGGGAAGTTACCCGGCACACCTGTTGTCCCCGGGAGGCGTCCCATTTATCAGAGCGTCCTGAATGTGGCCCGGCGTTACCTGCAGACCAGGTGTGAGGAAGGGTCAGAGTTGGAGCTTCAGGCGGCGTTCGCTCACTGACTCGGGTTTAATCGCTCGTAGGCGCAACTTTCATCAGAGCCTCGTCCCAGACTTCCTGTTTTGTGTTTACCAGAGCCGATTGGCTCACAGCCGCCCCCGTCCTGCAAGCTGCCGTTTGTCACCTTTAACATGACGTTTGACTGTGGGAGCCCACAGTTCCTGAACACAGCTGATCCCAGAAAAGCTGGAAAACCGGGAACGTTCGTGTCAAGGAGCTGCTGCAGGTTTCTGTTTAACCCTCCTCTCTGTGCTCTGTGTCCAGACGAGAAGAAGGGAGGAAGCATCAGAGTGTCCGACTACACCGACGCAGCGAAGAAAGGTGAGACGGCGCCCTCTGCTGGACGTCACTCAGCGCTGCCGTCATCATCAATGAAGCCAGAACGTGTTTCTGACCCGACTCTAGTCCACATGATTGATTCGTTTATGCTAACCCCACAGAGGTCCAATTAAATGTTGATATCAGCAGATTTTTTTTTTTAAATCGGTGACCGCTGTGGGTGTTTTTCTCCCCGCAGGGTGCAGCGACGTGTCCGTCGGTCCTCAGCGGAGCCCCTTCCTCTGTCTGGACCTGGTCTACATCTCAGCCCTGCTGCAGGAGCTCGGCTTCCCTCCACACAAGCAGTTCAGGGTGAGCTTCCTGTCTCGCTTCTATCGATTCCTTTAAAACCATCGAGCCGTCTCACCTCTCTGACGTTGTCTGTGTCCCAGCTTGCGAGGACCATCAACCAGGTGGAGACCAGCTGGGCTCTGGGCGCCACTTTCCACTACATCGAGTCCCTGAAGGCACACTGAAGCTCTGAGCTTTTATTTTGAAAAGCTGGGGGTCCTGCTTACTCTGAACACAGCTGACTGATGATGTTTGTGCCAAAGCAGAAATCTGAGCGGTGGGATAAAAACGTGACGTGTGTGAAAGCGGCTCATTCAGACCGGCGGTCAGGAGGCCGGGCTGAACTCGCTACGGTCCCAGCGTGGTTCATTAATCGAATATTTCACATTTTTATGACCAAAAGGATGCGGTGGAGCCAAGGGTTTGTGAGCCAGTGACGGGAAAAAATAAAACCCTGTTTATGTGTTTGTTTGTTCTGTGGCTCTTTTCCATTAGATAAACTTTTGTTAGTCCCACACGTGGGAAACTTGTTTGGTCACGGCACAAAGTTAACCATTTAACACGTTAGTGCTCTTCTCTTTTAGGTTTCTGGGATGTTGTTGGTAGTGTTGTGGGTTTTTCCGTAGATGTGTCGGTTTCTTGCGAGTTCTGCGTCGGTGTTTTGGGAATTTGGGTCGTTGTTTCTGAGCGTCGCCTGAATGACCGTCAGCGTTTCTTCTCACCTGATCAAACTAAGCCGGGCTCAGTGTGAGCAGCTCGTTGGCGACTGATTGTTTTTATTCTGAAGGACTTCCTGTTTGTATCCCTGTAGTTTCATGATAAGCAGATGTTTAAACAGTTCCTGTAGAAACCCGTCTGTTTGGCTCTCAGGTGCTGAGACCGTAAGAGTCTTAGTCACGTGACTTTGGCGTTGCCTCCTCTGATGTCAGCTGTTCCTGAGTGGAAGCTTCAGCGTGTGAAACTTTCACATAAGATCAGGATGAGACAAAGAAGGGTTATTATGAACTGTGAATCATGGCAAGCTGCTCTGTGAGAGCCTCAAATAGACCTGAGTGTCCTTCTGTTACGTGGAGCAGCTCCTCCTCTCTGTAACGTTCGTCTCAGTGATGATCATCTTCAAACCACCGAAGCAGCAGCTGGGCTCTCAGCAGGCCAGAGCTACACCGGCTTATTTCACACAGAGCGGCTCTGCATCAGTCCCAATATTAAATTGAAGAATATGAAATGTTTTCCTTCAGCTGATCCTGTGCTTCATATGAACGATGATGTTTGCAGGTTTTTAAGGATGTATTTTTATATTCTGAATCATAAACTCTGTATTGTGATCAATGATTCATTGGAATAAAAACTGGAAACCGCTTTAATTCATAAAAACCTGAAGGTTTCACTTAAACACATTCAGGAAAAATAAAGTTTAACAGAAGATGATGGAGGTGTGAAGATGTTTGTCCTCAGCGTCCTGCAGCAGGAAGCCCACAAACACAGGTGTGCTTCAGGTGAGTGCGTGCAGGTCTGCTCTTCTCTTTTTGTAGGATGTGGCGGGCGGCTTTAACGCTTTCAGTGTGAATGAAAGCACCCGATTGGCTCCTTACCTTTGAAAACAGGAAGCTGGATCAGCGTGGAGCGGCCCTGATTGCTCGTCACAGAGAAACCAGCGAGTCTGCACCAGCTGACGTTTCACCGTCATCCTGAAGCTCCAGGTGTTTCAGGAGAAAGCACGCCGATGAGGAGTAAAGGACGCCGAACACCACCTGCTCTCACTCACACCTTGACCCATGTGACCTTAATGACTGGTGTGATGATGGTGGCTCTCCACCAGCTGTTAGAGCCTCCTGGATGAAGGGGAAAGAATCAAGTGACCGATAAGACGAGGAACACAAGACCACACGGCTGAGTTTGACCTGAAAACTGTCGGCGTGATGACGAGGCTGCAGCGTTGAACAGCGAAGCAGGAAATGATAAAATGACGGCAACAACAGAACTTTAAATCAAATCTTTGAATGATGGAACCAGCGGTCAGCTCTCAGCTGTGAGGTCTGACCCTCCACCTTCACTCAGACCTCCTGAGACGATACAAACTCAGCGTTTCTTCAACTCGTTTATTGCAAACGTGTAGAAACAGTACATGTCCCAGACGGCCTCAGGTGTCTGCTGTGGGCCCTGCTACAGTCACTGTGCTGTCTGGATTATGATGCTAATAAAGTTTTAATGTTTAAAAAAGCAGCGGTGATGAACCTGCAGGCAGCATGTAAAGCCGAGATCTTAGCTAATGCTATTAACGATATCACAGGGCTAACTGAATTTGGCTAGCAGCAAACCTAGCTTGATAATGTTTACCTTATAGTGCAAATTAATAAAAAATATTTCATATGTTTAATATTTGTTCCAGAATACTTTTACATAAACAAAGGCATTTTTTTCTTTTACGTATGACATCACAACCTGATTGGCTGGTTGTGACGTTGATCCTGGACGAACGTTACTACGTGGCGGGTCCACTGGAGCCCAGTTTACAGCGAGTCACGCAGCCTCATCAAGATCTGAAGAAACGTTTACGTCATATTTAGTGTGAATGCTTGAATGCTGTCTCCTTCAAAACCGTTCAACTTACAAAAACTTTATTCAACAAAAATTTCCCATGTGTTTCAATGGGGAGACTCTTCAAATTTTCATTAAACTTACTCACTTTTCAACTCTTACTACTTCCACATATATTGACATAGAGCCACCATTCAAACTTTAAAACGAAGCCAAGACATTCAACTATTCAACTTGTATTTATCTTTTCAATATCTATTATACTTTTTCTTCAGTTCCAGTTTAAGTTTCATGCTTTTTTCAGCCGTTTCAGAGTTTATAATGGGTGTGTATGGGACGGAATGTTGGCGCTAGCGTGAGAGGAGGAAAGAAATTAATCTTGAAATCTTCCTTTAAACTGCTGCTGTGTCTGCAGCGTTTGCTCTACAGGTATGACTTTACCCTCGAAACGTAGCCATCGCTGTCCTCTTTCATCCTCTGTGTTTATTATTGTACTAGGTGTTATGGTTCTTTCATAAATGTTACCAATGCACAGCCTCCTTCCTCCAACTCTTCCACAGACTAATGTTAAAAGGGCTCAGAAAGTTGGTTTGAAAATCAGAAGTACGGGCTGTCTTTACACTGTCGTCACGTCCATATAATAAACTCCACAGGCATGAAAACTGAGAATTTGGTAGACTGGACATTGCTGCCGCTCACGGTGAAAGAATTTTGTCAATACGACTCCTAGTTGTGTCCAGTGTTTGCTCTACAGCCATCATTTTACCCTCAACGTCGCCATCGTTGTTCTCTTTCCAACACCGAGTCTTTCAAAGCTCAGAGATGTAAACGTTTTAAACTGTGTGGATCCAAGTGGAGGGATCACATTGAATCACTGAATGAGTAAAAAGAATGTGAACTTTTAATATTCATTCAGATGTTTTCTGACTTTAAATTTTCTTTTCTCATTTCTTAGGTTTTTCTAATTTACAATTAAAACATTTTCAGCTATTTTCCAACTTCTGTGTGGATGTCAGCTTTTAGCACTTCAGCACTTTTGTTTTCAGATTAAACTCTGGTTTTTTTCTCATTCAAATTTTTTAACTTAAAATTCAGCAATTAATTCATTTTAGTGCATACATTCAGATTCAAGCATTCACACTGCAGTTTCTTTAGAAAGTGCACTTCCCAGTTATAAATGATTGGCATGTGTGCATGCATGCGCGTGAGTTAGAGTCTCAGGGCTGTTTCTGCTTCATCTCCTTCCAGCTCTTCCACACCAGGACATCTCGACTTTTTCCCCAGGCGACGAACCAGCGGGGCAGCCTGAAGCCGTTGTATTGACCCACGCCGTCGTCATGGCCCATCGCCAGCAGCATGGTGACGTTACCTAGCAACCAGGAAGAACTCGAGTCAGCCAGAGAACAGAGGCAGGTGACCAACAGCCCGGCATGGTGAGCGCATACCTGTTTGATAGGAAGTCAGCTCCTTCCCGCTCACACTGTTGGCAATGTTGGCCACGGCGACAGCGGCGTGGAGGCCGGCGTTGTACGCCGTCTTGGGCTCGTTGACATTGGTGCAGTCACCCACGGCGAAGATGTTGGAGAAACCGTCGACCTGCAAGTGGTCGTTGACCTTCAAGGCCCCGTTTTCAGCCATACTGTCATCTGTGAGCAGAAACCAGTCGCTGATCAATGCAGCCATCGTTAAAAATAAATGTCTACGTGATTTTTCAGGCTAGCAGAAGCGGGACTCGGCATTATCACTTCCTGTGACACTGTAAGTAAGAAGAGTGACGTCGGGCGACCCTGTGGTCAAACCGCAGCATGGAGTGAAAGCAGGAAATGACCTCAGTGCGTGTGGGTTTGCTGTTCTTACTGAAGGTGGCGCTGTAGGCTGCAGAGTTGATCTTGAGCCCGGTGCAGCAGATGATCAGATCCGTGACCAGCGTTTCGCCGTGGTCCGTGATCACCTCCGTGTTCTTCGTCATCGTGTTCAGCGGCAGCTCCGACAAGTTGCTCACTTTCTGTCCTGAAAACACGGCGGTGGAAAGTGAGCCAAACCCCGAGCTGACGTGAGCCGTCACCTGCAGGCGTGAACTCACCCAACACAAGCTCCACCCCCTTCTCCAAGAGAACCTGATTGGCCTCGCGCCTGATGCTGGGCAGCAGCTCCGGGTCAGCCAGCCCGAGTTTGGAGTGGATCAGAACCACCTGGAGGGGTCGACGCGGAGGAGAGAGCGGGGTCAGCGTTCAGAGGGCAGCAGCAGGGGTCAGAGGTCAATTTAATTCAGTTTTATTTATACAGTGCAAAGTCTCGAGCGCAGTCAGCTCAAGGAGCTTTATGTGATCAGAGACGCTCCACCAATCTGAAGACCACGGCTGAGTAAGCACTTGGCCACACAAATCTAACAGGAAGCAGACTCCAGCAGAAGCAGGCTGAGGGCGAGACTGACGGGGGCGAGGGCGGGACAAAGACATGCTGTGGAAGACAGGTCAAAGGTCATCACCTTCTTATTAGGATACTCGGTCTTTATCTCTGCAGCCATCTCCACACCGGTCGATCCTCCGCCGACCACCAGCACCGAGTCAGCAGCCTGAACCTGCACACAAAGACACACACGCACACCCACACGCGTGCACGCACACAGACACGCACACAGACACACAGCGTGAGGAATTTACATATTTTTAATTTGACTTCTTGAAGTTTTCTGGGTTTTTTGTTGTCGTGTGAAACATTGAAAAACCAGACAGAGAAACACAATCTGACACGTCAGCTGCAAAACAGCTTTGCAGTAAAACCTCCTGCTCGGGTCTACCAGAGGCCCGGCAGCTTGAGGGTCCTGCAGTATCTCAGCTGTTCCCAGGACTGCGCTCGTCTTCACAGAGATGTCCGACGTTGTTCCCGGGATCTGCTGGAGTCGTTCTCGCAGTTTGGGAGTCACTGCACCCAGTGCTCCACTGGGACCACCGTCACCTTCACCCTGCACATCTTCTGCAGCTCTTCTCTGAGCCCTTGGTACTCCTGCAGCTTCTCGTGTTCCTTCTTCCTGAGGTTGCTGTTGTTCAGTATCACTACGGCCGTCTCCTGGTCGTCTACCACCACTATGCCCAGTTGGTCCCACAGGACTCAGTTAACCCGTGTTGTATTTCCTGTAAAAGGCCTTTTTGTACCATTCTGAAATGTGCACTCTCTTTCAGTTTTAGCTCACCTTACCTTTATTTAAGCCTCTGTTCACCACTCACCTTTCCAACTGTTCATCGGACCTGAACTGCAATAAATAACTGGAAACACGGGCTGTTCTAACACTTTTATGTATGTATATCTGCGTTAAACATTACAATAATAAGACTAACGGTTTTGAAAAAATATTAAGTAATAAAATAAAACTAATTTCACTCACTAATACTGGACAGTTCTATTTCAGTACAGAGATAAACTTTAGTATAAAACTTGTACATTAATGTACTTTTTAGAGTAGAGTTTATACTTTACTCTAAATCTACGTTTACATGAACTTTTCCATGGCAGTATTTTTTCTGCTGGTGAAGTTCAAACTAAAATGTATTAAATTATTAAATATGAAGATTTGAAATTCAACCAAAAAAGGTTAAATAACAATAACTTGTAAACAAACAGCAGTAAAACCTGGATCGAACCTCTCTGATGAAGTCCTCGTACTTCTGCACCGCCTCCTTATGCGACGCCACCGTGTTGAACTTCCCGGGGAACGGCCCGTCAGTGCCGGTGCACAGGATGAGGTGGGAGTACTGGATCTCCTGCGGCACAAACGACACAGATTCAGCTGCAGCTTCACCTCCTCCTCATGCTGCAGAAGAAGCTCCGCAGGGAGCTGCTGTGGTCCTCACCCTCCCTCCCTCCAGGATCACCAGCTGCCTGTCTGTGTCGACGAGCTCCACCCGACCCTGAACGAAGCTCTCGCCAAACGTCTCGGCGTACGGGATGAAGGTCTTCTGAGCAAAGCCTGCACACAGCACAGCACTAATTTTTTTAAAATTAAAATGTGTAAACATAACATAAATTTTTACATAAATCTAGAATAAAATCAGCAAACACAACAAGAATAACAGTCGACGAGGTCATCTTAAAGTGAAGATAATATAAGTACCAGAAACTACTTTTAGAACTGACAGGAGAACAGGTGTGGACAGGTGTGGACAGGTGTGGACAGGTGAGAACAGGTGTGGACAGGTGTGAACAGGTGAGAACAGGTGTGGACAGGTGAGAACAGGTGTGGACAGGTGAGAACAGGTGTGGACAGGTGTGGACAGGTGAGAACAGGTGAGAACAGGTGTGGACAGGTGAGAACAGGAGTGGACAGGTGAGGACAGGTGAGGACAGGTGAGGACAGGTGTGCTCATGGTACCTGGCTGTACGGCGGCTCGCAGAGCGCCCAGGTTGTGATGGAAAGCGTCTCTCATGTCGATCAGAGTGAAGCTGAATCCTCGATACTTCAGGTCTTGAGCTGCGGCGATGCCACCAAATCCTCCGCCCACCACCACCACGTGGGCACCCTCGGTTGACACCTGACCCCCCATCTCTGCAGCCACACACACACACACACACACAGCCACACACACACACACACACACACACACGGGAAGTCACTACTACAGGTTGACCACACCTGACGTCGTCACCCCAGAGGTCTGAAGCTTCTTAAACCTGCATTCTCTCTGACGCCCAGCAGAGGGCGCCCACTGTGAAGTCTGATTCAATTGGGTTTGCTCAGCTGACCTTTGACCTCAATAAACTCTGTCCTGATGAGTTTCTGCTCTGTCGCTACTTTCAGGTCTGACTGAATCAAACAGGAAGTCTATTTTGGTCCTGTCAGAGGGCGGGGCTAAACAGTGACTGACTAGTTGCTCGTTGCTCATGAAATCCAAACGACTGCTTCACGTTCGTGGACATGCACAGCTCCTTTTCAGCAACACTCAGGACACCTTTGAATGAATTTCAGCCAAAAGAACAAACAGTAACTCTGCTGTGTACACAGGGGCGTGTACACAGGGGCGTGTACACAGGGGCGTGTCCACAGGGGCGTGTCCACAGGGGCGTGTCCACAGTGGGGCACCATGAGGTCAACCCCCCCCGGCACCACGCTGCAGAATAAACGCTGTGACGTCTCACAAACTGAAACCGTCGACTGTCAAAAGCTCCAACAACACTCAGCTCCAAGCTCCAAACACACAGCTGCCATCTTTTATATACAGGCTGTGATTTCTGCTGATTACATAACGCCCACTAGTTTAATCTCAGCCTGTGTTTCTACAGGTGTACACAGACCACACCCCCTCCATCTTCTGAGAGCTCACCTGAGCATCACTCACAGGGAGATGAAGCTGGTCCTGGGGCCCGTTCTTCGTACCTCGCTAAGTAAGTTAGCTGGATTAGATTGTTGACAAAGCATACAGAAGGGGCTTCTGTCTGTGATTCGGATTGAACATTCGCGATCCTGATTTCGGTTCCCCGAAGCTCATCCGGGACTTGCTGTCATAGCAACAGAGCCGTAAGCGTAAACCTGCTCGGGAGCAGGTTTACTTTATGTAAACAGGATTAGATCGCGGCCACGCAGGTATGTCCGCTTCATTTATACGAAAGCAACAGCGATATTCCACCACTGTTTCACCATAAATAAATAACATCAATGTAACTAAAGATAATGCAGCACTTGATCCTTGTTATTGATGTCACACAGATACATACAGGTCATTTCCTAAAAAAGGGAAATGTACTATTAACATTCTATTACATGTATGTGATTATTACAGATGTAATTCATATTTCAGAGTAGTAATTGTAAATTACTTCGTGTAATCAAGATGAGAGACCACGGCTATAAAAGCGAAGGTGGATTTGGGAAGCCTGTCGCAGCCATGTCCTGTCCGTATACGCGAGCAGCCCATTGCGGAAGGTGCAAGATTGATAAGGAGAGTCCTCAGAATTCAGCGTATATTGCGGGACAGACAGGATCCTTTAGCTCAGCGCGACAGTGTGCTCATTGAGAGATATCGATATTCCCGTGAGGGTATTATTTCACTTAACCAACTTGTTGACGAGGGGGTGCAGGACCACCACCTGTCTTTTTTTCCTCTGCCCTTTTCTTGGTTGCTGTTATGAACAAACTAACAGAGTATTACAGGCCAGTTTACCTTGCCAAGAGACGAAAAGCAATCTAAGAGATAAATATTACCATTCTGTAGAATACTCCTGTATTCCACTTTTACTTGTTCCCATGTTCTTGTGGGTCCTGTTGTGGCTCTAATGTGAAAGGGGATATAATATAACATATTATGATATAATATAATGCCATATGATATTGGACAATATAGTGTCATATGATAGATCTACCCTACCGCCTACTGGTGTTGGCCAGAGGGGCCGATGGCGCGATATGGCAGCCTGGCTACAACCGTAGCTGCCTCCACCAGTGTGTGAATGTGGGAGTGAATGAATAGTGGTATCGTAAAGCGCTTTGGGTGCCTTGGAAAGCGCTATATAAACCCAATCCATTATTATTATTATTATTAAATTACCTACGAGTTTGATTTGTCAGCAACTTTCTGCCAGCCCTCTCTCCTTGCTTTTGCAGCCTTTGCAGTGTTCTCTTGCGTTTTAATTAAACTCTGAAACTCCTGAAATCCCTCACTCATGAGTTCTTGCTCTGCTGCCGGAAAATACCGAGCACGCCCCTTCGACATTTTCGCCGACCAATCAGCGGGTTGCCGATCACTGTTTCTGCTATCGATGCGTAGCCCCTTTTACGACACCCAGTGATCGCGCATTACTTCATCCAGCTGTAGTAATCGTCAACAGCAGGTGTGTTCGGGGAACCGGATTAGCGAGCTCACGGTTAGCGCGATGATTTGATCTTGGATGTAGTAAGCGACGTACGAAGAACAGGCCCCTGCTCACCTGCAGTGTCCTCAGGTGAGCCTGAGCTGCTCAGATGGTCTTATCGACGCATCAGCTGTGAGCTCAGAGGCATGCGGGGGGTGAGGCAGGTACAGGTACGCCAAACATGTGGCGCAGATAGAATCGGGTGACACCTCCTCTTCATCACTCTGCAGGAAACTCCTGCTCGAGCATCCAGATTAACAGGCGTTGGTCGAACTCGCCACATTTTTAAACTTTTTGTTGTTCGACAGCATCAAGACTGACGGAGTGTGTTTGAGATGACCTCACAGGTGACACACTCGGCGTTTTTTTGCTGGTTTGTCGGTAGCAGCTCCTGAAACGCAAGACTGCCACACATCTGTTCGACCAACGCCAGTTAATCTGGAACACCGGCCTCACGTGAGCTACCTGCCGCTGCCAGCCCGTCTCTCTGACACCTGCCCGCGCGAACGGAAGGAACTCACCTGCTGTAGGTACGCGCCTCGGTCACGTCGTCGTCCTCTTCTCCGCGGCTGTCGGACCGCAGCGTCTTTCTTACCGAGCTCCTCCTCCTCTGATGACACCAGTTCTCCTCCAATCACAGTCCGGCTCCCCATGAAGGAGGCGGGGGTAGGCGTGCTGCTTTCAGGTGCTGTAGGAAATATTATTTTTAAGGCGAGGCGTGACCTTTAACCTATGATAAAGCAGTTTTCCTGTGATGGGAGCGGTCTGTAAAACTTTATTAGTGAGGAGTAAAAGAATATAATTTTTTAAAAACCGATCAGATGATGGTAAATGGCCTGTATTTGTATAGCGCTTTACTAGTCCCTAAGGACCCAAAGCGCTTTACACATCCACACATCCACACACTGGTGATGGCAGCTACATTGTAGCCACAGCCACCCTGGGGCGCACTGACAGATGATCATTATTTTCTTTTAAGGCCCTTTGATTTATTCATGGCTCTGAGCCAGAGATGTCCTCACAGGCCACATGAAAGCTACAGCTCCGCTGATGTCCAGCAGAGGCAGCAGTGAGTCCGTCCCGACGCACATGTTAAAATAAGCATGCTTACAGCCCGACACCTGCACCTGCACCTGCTCCATCCAAATATTCCCAGTACTGATACCAACACTGGTGTCAGGTCGATACACACTGACAGGAGCGTTGGTTCTTCTTGGTTCAGAGCGTAGAACACGTGTTTTTGTAACAATCATTACAACATGTTCAGAATTTGCATATTAATGATGATTCATGTCATAAATGACGACACACTGCTCTGCCGTACATACGCTGCCTTTATAGGTTAAAATTTCGGTACTGGTCTCAGCAGTATCGGCCCTGTATCTACTCGGGTAGCACTCATGAAGGCAAAGGTGTGACTCTAACCCAGTGCAGCACTGTTACATACAGAAGCACTCATGAGGCCATACCAGGCACAGCTCGGACACCGGGGGATAAGCCTATCCCAGCTACACACAGAGACATTCACGCCGAAGCCCTCGAACTGCCCACACACACATGAACCCGCATGTCCGCTCCACACAGAGGCCTGGCAGGTGATGGAAGCAGGACTTTCTTGCTGTGAGGCAGCCGTGCTAACCAATGTTCCTGTGAAGAGCCCACAGCTGGACCGGCCGATGCTGATTCTTCGTTTTCATGGTGTTTTTTGTTTGTTTTTGTTGAAAAGGTGTAAACAATGAAAGGGGGTGGATTGGCCAATTGGTCATGATCGACTCTGGGCTGGACCAATTACAGCCGAGGAGGTCGAACTTTAAAGTTCCATATTGAGGAACGTGATTTGTCTCAGACTTCAGCTAGAATGGAACAAAGACACAAAGCTGGAGTTATTCTGCGTCGTTACGCTGCAGCTGCCTCTCATTCTCCCCCTCCCCCTCCCTCTCCTGTTTCTACTTCAATCATGAAACTGATCAGTGATCAGCTGATCGGCTTTTCTCTCTTGTTTGTTTATCGCCCACTTTGCGCCAGAAACAGGAAACCATCGAATAAACAACAGCAGCACGTTTAAGCTTGATAAGCTGTTGTTAGCATTTATTTTTTTCTGCCTGTCCCGTTTGGTTCTTTTGCCATCAGAATTATTGTTTGAAGGCAAAGAAAGATGCCCGACGGATTTACTACACCCAGTGGACCATCCCAGCCTTGCTGTATTGGTCCATTTGATCGACCTTTGTTTTTATTGTTTATTTATTTTATTTTATTTTCAGTTGTTACATAAGAGAGAGAAT